ACTCCCTGGACGGGATGCCAGTCCATCACAGAGCTGGGGTACTCCCTGGGCGGGATGCCAGTCCATCACAGAGCTGGGGTACTCCCTGGGCGGGATGCCAGTCCATCACAGAGCTGGGGTACTCCCTGGTCTATTGCAGGACACATGCACACATGACAGGCAATTCAGAGATGCCACTTAGCCTAAGTGCATGTCTTTGGACTGCCAGAGGAAACCAGAGTATGTGGAAGAACACAGGGTAGTATACTGTATGCAAACGGCGAACACACAGAGAGCAGAGGTGGGATTTAAATCCCCAACACCAGAGGCCACCATATTCCTTAAACAATAAGAATAAATTCCATATAATCAACACTGCCCAAAAGCTCTCCCCTTTATTTCCTCAAGTCATCGTTTGTGCTCTTCACTGTAGTCTTTGCAGAACCTTCCCAACTTTTTCAATAACTCCACTGCCTGTCTAAACAAGAGCATTGAGTTACTCACGGCAAATTAATTCTCGTTGCCTTGGTTACAACCAGGCAACTGTACAGTATGCACCTTGGCCTAAACTTTGGGGCTGCTATATAAATTATGAAAACTGTTGGCTCTGGCCCTTTTCCTCCACTGTGCCATGGTGTTTTTTTCTTTTTTTTAATAAGTCAAACAGCTGCCATAAAACAAAAGAAGAATATCAAAATGATGGTATAATGCAATATTTTCCACTGACTAGTACAACAGGAGAAACAAGTACATTTCCCAGCAGACACAACGTGTTACATAATCAGAAAAGAAAAATGTCTGCGGAGCACAGATCACCTCACTACTCATGTGGAACACTATTTAATATGGAGAACCAAATGGAACGAAACAGATGTCCCACTTAGTCTTATGTGCTACACCAGACCCAAGGAGCTTGGGGACCTGACATTCCAGCCAGCCAAGCAAATTATTATGGTATTTAATCCTGATAAAATTCATACTGCTTTTGTGCCAGAACACCTGATTTACACAGGACTGCGGAATGAATCCCAATGTAGGGAATATGGCCACTTCTCATTCCTCTCCTAAGGAAAACCTTAAGTCTTGGTTGCCTTACAATTACGCTCTTCTGCTTGGGTGTCTCCATGGTTTCAGAAGCCTCATCTCCCCCATAATTGTTAGAGTGGAACCCATGCAGCAATTATTGCTTTTATTTTCCAGGCCAAGTAAGGGCTTGTATTACTCATCCTCCTTCAAGCCCATTAGCCATGCAAACTCTGTGCACACAATCGCCCTCCATGAATACATTTGAACACACACTCTCACTCACATAAAGTTGTTTAAACATACATACCTTAAACCACCGAATATCTTAAAATACATAACTAACATATTTTATTCAAGTAAAAGGCTCATTTTATTTCCCTTCTTTGCACAATATTAGTTGTGTCCAATGGTATTATACCTGCCATCTTATCTATAATGTTATAAGCCAAAGGCTTATACAAGTTATGCAGTAGTTGACCAGCTTAACATGGTGGAAGTGAAATAACCAAGTCTGCAGTCTCTGGGATCAAACTCCCAAATTCTGTCAAGACTATTAGTAAAAATGCTGTGAAGAAATTAACACAAGACTTGGATGAGTCCTAATCTCCATCTTCAAGTGCACTTAGATTAGCTGTGCATGTCCTGTCCTATTGTGTGCCGTCTCCTAAAATTAAATGGTATGAGGTATCACATCTGTTACATAACTCACTCAAGACAGTTGCCCAGAGGCTAAAGGCAGACATGAATAATAACCCTTGAATAAAAACCTAAGCCTTTGTTCTGGCTTTTATCCTTCACTTGTGTTTTCAGATGCACTCCAAGCAAACTGGATGGTCACCACAGGATGTGAGCCTGACATAGAGTCAATAAACTTTGCTTTTTGTAAAACACCACAGGAGATCTGTATTTAAGTACTACACTAACGCCTACATTACAAAAAACAAAGACATAGTCATTTAGTCGTTTGGGGGCAAACATGTTTCCCGATCAGCGTGGTATTCTATTAATCTGTTAATGTGCTACTTATAGTTTTTATGTTATCTTTTAGCTTTTAGAATGTAAGATCTTACATACATTTTATACCGGCATGGTACGTAGTTTACGACACTCGGGAACACTTTTCCCGCACGTTTAGCGAAAGGTCTTCCATGTTAGAAAAAAGAGTTTGTTGTGTAACACTGTTTACTTAACTAGGAAAAATCAACCAAATAAATTCTAGTAACAAGCAACCCAAGTGGCATACTGTACTATCTAATACTACACATTTCATTTTCAATTTGAAATATGCAATATCTGCACTAAAGATAATGTGGATCAGGGTCCGGTTGTTCAGCATAAAACCAGTGACTGTAAACGTGCACACCAGCTATTCGTGTAAAATCGCATCTTTTTGATCATTCTGACCAGTAGTTACAATTGAATATATCACCATTAAATTTCAGAAACTATCGTGAAGTCAAGCATAGTGAAGTACTACAGTAATACTGTATATAATGCACTTATCGTAAAAGCGCATGTTTTTCATTTTTAAAAGCAGAAGAAGAAGCATATACCTCGAACAGCTGCGGGATCTCACGTTTGGAAAGGTATTCTTTGGCATCCGTAGTATTCATCTTTCTTTAACCCTCTGCTTCGTGTTCGTCGGCGATTTGAGAAGCGGAACAAAACTTGACCAAAATGAAGAAGTTAAAAGCTTGTAGTTTCCTCACTTGTCAAATCCACGATCGTGAGCGCAAATATGCACCGATGCATTCTACTGTAGATAGTGCTGTGTTCACATCAAATTTATTTATCATTTTTTTGTATTATTCAGAACCATAGGTATTCAAAACAGGATGCAAGCCATCGGTGCATCAAACGGGGAATTTACAAATGGACTTTGACGATTTTAACCAGCTACATGTTGCTTCCCCCAAAAGAATCGCACTAGCGTAACACAAACCAAGAGGTCTTGGTAGAGACCACCCCCTCGACTGCGTCCGTCACTTTTTTTTCAGTATATCAGTATAGTTCTGCCAAAAATGTATGGATATAGACCATTTTATGCATACATGAAAAGAATTTTATCATATGGTTTATTTTAAATGGCAGACGTACAGTACAAACGAGGGAAATACGTTTTTGTCTCTACATGCCAATGTGAGTAGAAATTAAAGAATGAGCCATACAGTATTTTGCATCGAGCCCTACGTAACTTAAATAACCTACAATTTTAGTATTTTCTTGCAAGTATTATGTATGTGTAACATTTTTCCTGTGAGGTTATCAAAAGTAAATTATGTATTAAACCTATTTAGATTATATAAATGTCTATTAAATGCTTGATATCATCTAAAAGAATAAATGAAGATAAAAAATGAAGAATGAAAACATAAACTGAGCCGAAATGTAAAGCACATTCTACATTAAAATATGGTAATGGGTACAATTTGGATTATTTTGGGATGTAGCATGTTCCCACATAACCCATATAAAAGCCTCAATCAATGCGACTAACGGTGTAATTACTGTTGGAATAGACTCTTTTTTTAATCGTGAACGGGAACTGGGCAAGCAGTGAGAAAATGTATATTAAATTCTCAATAGGAAAACTACAGATATAAAGGTATTAACTCAATATGCAATTAATGTAAACGCACTACATGTTATATGAGGACGTACAGTACCAAGTGGAATGATGCTTCGGTGGGTAGGACACCTCCAACGGTTCGAACCCAGCTCAAGCAGCCTCAAGATAAGCTTATGTGAACTGGTGTCTTAAGATCGCCCGGAGTCTGTGTGTCTAACGATTGATTGGTATTCTGCCCAGGTGTAACCCTGGTTCAGACAGTCCTCCAGCCTTGTTTTGGGAAGAGTTGAGTTGCAGGAATACTGATGTTCGATTAAAAATGTAATTTACATTTGGCAATGCATGATGAGTTTATTCTTGCTTACACAATACTGGAGATAAATTAATACAAGGTTTGAAATCATTCTCAGGAAATCACCCTCAATTATAATTCAGTGGAACTCTGGACTACAACTTTTATCTTGATAAAATAATTGTGCATAATGTTCAGCTCGACTAATAAAGTATTTATGTATATATTGGCACTGGGTAGAAAAATTACTTGAACATTTCTCCTTAAAAAGAGTAGAACATTTCATATTTATTTAAATGATCAAAATGATATAAACACTAAAAAAAAACAATTTACTCCAAAATGGCACAGAGACAACAGAGTATCCATCATACCACTGCATGCATCTTTATTCCCAGCCTTCATCCAAATGTTCCATGAAAAGTCAATAAAAATTTCCAAAAACTGTTCAAGAAAAATCTACAACCAGCAATAATAATATTGTAGATAACACCCTGAGCGCACTTGGGGAGCGTTTGACTTTGATTATTGCATAAAAAACTTTGTTTGGCAGTATGGATATTTATTGTGTCCTGTACAAAAACTCTACCTGGGTGGAGGATGTCATGGAGCAACAACAGACCACAGTGTCATCTGCAGGTCACGTGCTGCAATGCAGACCAGAAATTGTAAATATCCTTCCTTTGGAGAGTAAGTGTTCAGTCTGACATTTCTACCAAACTTGTCTGAACCACAGGTAAAGCACATCCCATAACAGCTTTATTGTTAACAGAGGGGAGGTTCCCACATTCACAATCTGAAAAATACAAAAGCTTTTTGTATTGTACATTTGACAGTAAGAAAGTATACAAGTCAATGGGATCAATTTAACTTTTCACTTATCATTAATACACACAAACACACATACACATATGCATAATGATTCTGAGGTAGAACCACAATTCCTGTGAAAAGTCAACCTCAGTCCTAGTACCATGTTTCAATTTAATGTCTTCACAGCTAAAATCTAGAGCTAATACGTAACCAAAACTGCAGGCCAAATGACCATACTCCTACAACTTTTTTTTTATATAAGTAATACTTAAATATTTTTTGCGTTTCTTTCACAATTTTACTTTTTATTATATTGCCTGCTTGGGCTGCATCTAATTATGTTATAATTCTATCTCTCCATTCCACATCAGTTCAGTAATACGTTAGTCCTTCTTGTATTAAGGGGCAATTGTGTTCACAATGTAATATCCATCCATCTATTCATTTCTGGTACTGTTTACCCAGTGCAGGATTGCCCAGAATATGAAAACAACAGTAAATATCCTCACTCTTGGTTGCTGAATTAGTTCTTTTGCTCACAAGGTGCTTTTTCAGAATTCGTATTTTTTAAACTCTAGCTGGTTTCAGCTTTTGGTGCAGTAATGCAGATTATTCATCCAGTGCTGCAGGAAAAAATGCAGTTATGCTGTGCAAGGAAAACATGTTGTGGAAAACAGTCAAAAAGACCCAGGAAGTGCAAAAGTCCTGGAGCTGCAACCTGCTGGCTCAGAACAGAGTCCTGAATATCCCACGTTTAACATGTGCCTGACTGTACTAGTCCTATAGGTTGACTGATACTTCAAACAATGCAAACACATGTCAGGCATTGTTTATGAAAGCAATATTCCAAAATATTTTAATGTTAATATTATTATATATTTCACAACCTAAAATTATTATTTTTATTTATCCCTGATGTTTAGCCCCCAGATTTAAAACTTAACACTATATTAAGTTCTGCAAGGTCCTGTACAATACAAAGAGGAAACTGGAGGAAAACCAAAGTGGACTGAGTGCAATGTTCTGTGTGAAGAAAAAAAAATTCTGCCCCCAGTCAATTATCTAGCCATAAATAAAGTATGACCCGCATGGATGCTATGTTGGCTGCACACAGTCTCGCTCCAGCTCCTCAAACCCCCCCCACTCGTCCATTTGGGGGATCACAGACAGGGCAATGACAGGATCCTCACAAACTACAAAATGTAAAGAAAAAATCCTTTTCAAACACCTATAATCTGTCCTCCTCTACCATCACGCATGCTGTATATTGACAAGTAAGCCAGCATTAACCCTTTTATTCTTTTGGCCAATAATAATAAAGTGGTTTTACATTATTCTCAGCTCACGGTGTAATTGTATTATCCCAAACACTCATTTACAATTGTTATTTTAGTGGGAAGCATGGGAATAGCAAACTGTGTCTCACTTTCACACAATAGTGTGCATTTGGCTTTCAGTCATTCTTCCTTTTTTATTTTATCCCTATAGCGGTCAGCTCTTTAGCTAGCTTCAGTTTTCTTAAATTGACCTTACTTTGTGTGCGATGTCTTGAGTCCAAAGAATGTAAAACCTTCCAAAGAATGTAAAAGACTTCGACTTTATCTTGACTGATCTCTCTTAATGGCTTCCAGAACTTGACTTTCTCTCTGCCTTTATACTGACATAAATATTTTTTTAAATAAATGAAAATGGAAATTGGTGGGTGGCTGAGTGTGTCGCAGACTTGGAGGTCAACCTGGGGTTATACAGCCCTAACTGGAATCTCCAGAAGGAGGGGTTGCTGCGTCTGAGCTGGCCTCATCCGGCTCATTCGTAGGAAGGAAGACTCGTTGTTCATCCATGCGTTTTGCCTGGACTCTCTGGATAAGGCTAAAGAAGTCCTCATCTGGCACTGTTGGGGCTTTGGGACCCAGATCAGGTGGGGAACACCTCTGGTCATCGATTCTAGAGGACTGAAAAGAGTGAGAGAAGAACATAATAGTGAAACAGGAAATGTACACACGTAATACCTTAATGAAAAAAAAAAATCACATTATTCAGTGTCATTTACATGGGTTTAAACTTACACTAGCAATACTGCATTAGGGTAACAGAAAAGAGAGAATGTATGATTTGTCCCAGGTGTTGCTGGTTCGCCGATTGCTCTTTTATCCACAACTTTCCTTTAGTCTCTTATGTAGTGAATAGCAATTTGCAAGAAGCGAGGCAGCATCCTTCCAAACACGGGGCTCTTCGTTGTCAGCCCTTACAAGGACTCTTGTTCAGCATAAGCACAACAGCAGCCATTCTCAGCAGCAGTACCCCAAAATACACACAGACCAGGGAATGTGGGGAGGTCCCATTGCAAACAGCAAGTTACCCACATGGTGAGAAGTTACATCTTACAAAGAGACAGGCAAAGATCAGGCAAGGATGGAGTACAAACTCAGGTAAGGGCACACATGACAGTCGGGTACACGGTGCAGCTATTTACGTAATGCGGACAAGCGTTATTTATGAATAGCATGGAGCATGCTGGGAGAAGTTATTGAGCTCCGCTACACGGAAGGCAGCTCACGGATACTACTATAGCTTTATGTGCCTGTGGATGGTCTGCAAATTCTTAAGCAAAGGAGAGTAGTTCAGGTCCAGAGAGTAAAAGGCCAGAGCCAGATTTTGCCTCAACCAACCAGTTGAGTACTTTGCAACTGTGATGCTTTATAATCAACTGGTTGTTTGAAACAAAATCTTGATATGGACTTTTACTTTCTGGACCTGAATTACTCACCTCTGGTCTTAAGGCTCAATGTACACACCAATGGGAGTAACTCTCTCCACAGAAACCACAGAAACGCCTCGTTTGAATTCCAGCCCTTACTTCCATGACATTGTGAGGTCACCTTGTAACACAATCATTACTGGCTGCTTAACTGCAAGGATCTGTCTGCAGACTGCAAAACAGGGACAGAAGGTGTCAGGCAAGCTGACCAGTCAGAGCACACTGGGCTCATCAGGTGAGCAAATGAGCATAACAGGCTCCATTTAAGGGTATTCATGTTATGTCCAAAACAGCTTCAATCTGGTCATTTTCTAATTCAGTGGAAGGTTCAGACTTGATTTGATCAAGAGATTATTTGCTTGTTTTTCTTGCAGTCCATGATATGCAGTCCATGAAGTGTTTGCTGTCAGGGTCAGCTCCTGTTCCACTCTGTGTCCCTTCCCCGTTTGGCCAGCAGGTGTCGCTGGTCATCCCGTCCCTCGTGTTGTCAGTCTTTGTGTTTTCCCTGGCACCCTGTTAGCCGCATAGCTCAACTTGTTGAGCATGTGGGTGTCTGTGATCTCTTCTGTTCCATGTTTGAATCCCACCTCCTCTGTTTTTGTAGTTGTTCCCTAGTGTTTCATTGTATGAGTTTTTCTAATTCCTGTGTCTTCTGATTTGTATTTGGTTTTGGTTAAATTCTTTGTGCCTGTGACTGTGCTTTTATCTGTCTAATTCCCCAGTGTTAGATTCTGTTTCCTTGGTTAGTTCTTAGTTTCCCTGTTTTAGTTCCTCTGAGTTTATTAGTTTCATCTGTGCCCTGTTTCCCTGGTCTTTGTTAATTAGCCTCACCTGTCCTGTGTTAGTCTCGTTACCCCTTAGTACTTTAGTCCCTGCTTCTGTTTAGTTCCTCAGTGGTTCATTGTTTGAGATGTTTGCGATAGTTGTTAGTGTAGCTTTGGATATTCTGTTAGTAGCCTGCCTGCCCGCCTGCCCGCCTGACCCCCTTTGTAAATTTAGTCTTTGTTTATCCCCTTTTGTTTGTGACCCCTCGTGCTGCTTTTGGTTTTGTTGTGTTCGTAGTGTTTTCCGTTTTGTTAAATAAACCGCTGTTCTTTGAGCCGCAAGTGGGTCGTCCACCTTTGTGCCACCAGGCAGCCTCGTCCCTGTTCCAAACCCGCCCAGATTCATGGCAGTTTGCCGGCACTAATGATCAAAGACATCAATACTGTACCAGTGCTGTGTCTTCATTGTATCTCACATCCATAAAGTGTCTCTGGAAATACCATATTCTAGGAATTTCTGATCTATGTTCTTAGTGATATCAGTATTTTTTCCAGGTCCTTGACTGATGACCAATCTTCACTAGTGGATCCTTTGCTGCATCCCTGTCTTACTCTTAGATCAATAAGGAAACACTTAGTTTCTCCATATTATATCCTCACTGTGGTTTCTTTCCCAGTGTAGAGATTTCTAATAAGGATAATGAGATGCCCTAGAATTTCCGGAGAACAATCCAGTTTGACATCGTCAAATACAATCAAAGACTTTGAGTTAATCAATGAAGCTCATTGACCTCCTTCTGCCATCCCTTGTTTTTTTTCAGTTATCCATCGTGTGTCAGCAATGATGTCTCTTGTTCTTTAGCCTTTCCTGAATGCTGTTTATGGAGCTCACGATTCTCTTTCTGTGTAGGGCTCTAATGCGCGTTGAATGATCTTTAGCACAATGTTATTCATATGTGATAGGAGGAAAATTGTGCAACAGTCTGCACATTCTGTCAGCTGTCCTTTCTGTAGTATTGGAACATAAACTGATCTCTATAGCTCATAGCTCCCCTATTGAGGGAAGTTTCCTCACTATGAGGGGGCAGGAGGCCTGTATCAGTATAAGAAAAACCATAACAATGCAGAGAACATTGCATACTCCAGGCAGCAGGTCCAGAAAGTAAGCCACTGAAATCAACAGAAAACACATCAGCAAAAGAAAATCCTGAAAATCATCAGGATCATCAGCAGTGGCTGAAAATACCTTATACCTTATCTTATACCTTATACCTTATCTTATACCTTGTACCTTATACTTTACCTTATCAATGATGCACAAGCCTGATCACATAATACTGCAGAAAGGCTGCACTGTAAGAACTTAGAAGCTTGTAAAAAATCCCTAGCCCTCACCTGGCACTTGACGAGCATGTTGAAGAAATCATCTCCTGGCTCCTTGGCGTCAGTCTCCCCACACAGGTGACTCAGGTTGTTATGTGTGATCTTCAAACCCGGCAGGTTTCCCACGCTGGCCCTCTGGTCGTCCAGCCTCCGACTCTGGGAACTAGCAATGAGGTCGAAGAGCTCCTCTGTTTGTGATGAGGAAACGTTGGAGCAAGATTCTGCAGACAAGAGAGAGAAGTATATCTGATAATGCAGTCAAGCAAAGTAGTGAACCTGATCACTGAATGCCAGCTATGAACTTCTGGTCAAAGTATATAAGTAAAGATTTACGAAAAGACAAATTCAAGTGGAAGCCATTTGTTTTCAGATGAAGAAAGAGCAGATGACAACTGACCCTTCACATTGTCCACCAGTGAGCCCCGACTTGAAGCAGTCTTTCCCTTCTCCCAGACCTGCTGCTCATTGAGATTGCAGCGCTGGTCATCCATGCGGCTGCTCTGGAACTTGCTGAGGAGGTCAAAGAAGCAGTCCTCATCTGAGGGATCCCGGCCCAGCTTCTGAAAGACAACACATTTTATATTGGAGATTTCTAGTCAACCAAATGGACATTTATCTCACACAAAGACTTCAGTGTTGTTCATGTGATGCTATATGTTATTTTCACATTGTCTTCACATAGTTTTATTTATTGGCTAATCTGTATCTAAGATTTGGAGTCTTATAGAGCCATTTACCCAAAAGTTGGTTGAGTTGGTTGAGGTTCAACTGGTTGAATCCTCTGTTGAAAAGAAGCCTACAATGTGGTCTGTTGAACACAGATCCACCATAAACTAAAGATTCAGCAGCGTGTAGTATTCTCCTTGACCCTACATTTGACTCCAGAAGTGGAAATCTAGGTCAGTGCAGCATGCCTGAAGTCATTGTCATTGGCTGACATTGAAAAGCATTTGGTTCGTACGGCCCTAGGGTGCCAATATATACAATGTGCTCTGAAACATCTAGGGCACACATTAATCATTTTTCCTGAAACCACTGATCTGAATAGCGCTGTCTCTGTAGAAATGATATGAATTGGACTTTCTTTGCCTTTGATTTTTTAACTGAAATTCTGCAGTATTTGCATGTTTGTGTAAAATGAACAGTACAAGCATACATTATATAACATGATATTTTTCGTGCTTAGTTGTGATTATTCCTTGGTGACTGTGTTGTGTGAAACGCCTTTATGGCAATCTGTAGAAACTACAAACATTTTGTTTAGATGATGTTTAGACCTATTCAGGAAGAATGTCAATAATGGGAAAAGTAAAGCAACTTGTAAGAATAAAAAGTACAGACATGAACTGGAGAGATGACAAAAGCAAAGGATTAGCCATCTAAAGTGGAACTCTGTAAAAGCCTATTGGACGACAGGATGCTTCCGAGTGTGTAGTAACAGTATCACAATGGAGCCTTGTCATATCAAAGATTTGTCAGAAAGTGTATATACTCTACCAGTATAAAATGTTACTCTTTCATCTGAAACCCTTTATTCCTACCTCTGCCTGCTGTCTCTGCCGTAAAATGGGTATATTTTGCCTCTACACATAAGACTGAATGTTATACATTTGAGGTCTACCCTTGTATTCTATGTTTGTAAACCATAAGCTACCCAGGTAAAGAATTTGGCTCCAAACTGCAGTACTTCTGGAATTGTTGGTATTTATATGTCAATCATTACTATCCTGTTTTATTTTAATTCACTTTAGACATTCCTTGTTTTGTGTTGCTATGTAGCTGTTGCCTAATATGCATAGTAAGGATTGAGATTCCTTTGAATTTTTTATGTTTAACATTTTCCACTTGGTTATATCGCTGATCATGCTATTATTTAAAATGCAGCAGAACTGGCCATATCATTTTGATGCTCTGCCACAACATATGTCATTTTGTTGAGCTACTCTTGTTTTGAATATCTACCATATTATAAAATGCCTGCTAACATGTGCATATTTACATCACCACAGATTAGGGAAAGGTAATTTATACAGAGACAGAATATAATGGTCCATCAGAGCATCTACCAGCCGGTTCCATTTCCCCTGTGTAATGTTGTGTGACTTTCAGTGTGACAAATAGCCTTTAGCGAGGAGGGGTGTGTTTTGGAGAAGCGTATCGTCTGCCCTTGGTCTGTCCTGTCGCATATGGAGCAGCATCTCGAAAACACAAATATAAGAGGTGAAAACGCGGGCAGGAATACTGGGGGGAGACTAGCAGGCTAGCTTTCATATTTTTACGGAGAAATAAGGTGTAATGGTGTCTTACAGGTTAAAAAAAATTTGCCTGATAATTGTCTTAATATTGAATTTACTCTGTGAATGGATTCACCATCATTTAGCCATCATTGACCCGGCTTACTCAATTATACGCTGGATAATAGAATCTGTTAACTATAAATATATGCATAGCAGTTAAGTAATGTCATCTCACCTACATTCAATAGCGGTAGAGAATCAAAAATTATAAATGGGATCTTTAATTTTTTAACTCAGACAGAAATAAATATGCAAATAGGCAACTGTAAAGGCCCTTTGGTTTTATGAAATTAGATCCTGGTCTAATTTGACTGCTATGTTCTCTAAATTAGGAAACACATGGACAATGTGCTAAAATAAGTGGCTAAGGGATCTCAGAGAGCCTAAATCGGGCACATATTCACAGCTACTGTACCACCATTACACCTTATTAGCTTCTCCAGTGGGTGCTGATGCTGTACCAAAAGTCAGGGGTCGTCCCTTTGGCAGAGCAAAATGCAAGCTATTTTTTGAACACTTCAAACACTCCCTATTTCAACCCAATAGCACAGAATGTCCACTGAGTTGAAGCATTTGTTTGAGGCATTTGTGCACTGAATTAAATTAAATTTTATTCAGTAAAGCACAATATTTTTAAGAGGAGAAAAAGTCACAAATATTGGGGAAAATCATTCCATGATCCCTTCAAATAAAGCAATCAAGAAATTGTGTCCATAAGTGCATGCATTACCCATCACAGCTACAATTATCATGAGCAAATGAGTCTCTTGATCATTCCTGACTGTGGCTTCGGCCAGAGAATTGCGGTCAGATGATCTGATCGCCGGAGGCAGGACACCCAGGATGGGCTGATGCAGAAAATTGGATCAGCAGAACAGATCATTCTGATGCATGAAACCTTCGGGCACGGTGGCAAGCCGGACATCTGGCTTCGGTTCATTGTCAAATTTAGCAAACAGGCTCCATGGAGGCTAGTTTGCAAATCCTTAAAGTCATTTGGCAGTTATATCAGTGCTAAATATCTTTATTTTAAATAAATAAAACATTCAGAGCTAGGATAGGGATTCGTAAATTTGTAGTGACATTTCTAGTCCAAGCATTCTGGTCTGTGCAAAACTCATTCCCTAACAATCTTTCCGTAATCTTTTTATTTCTCATAAGAATATGATGATTGATACACTTCCAATTTATTTAAATCCTAAATCCTATTTACTTAAAATCATGCATATGTCATATATAAGGCATTATTAAGGGCAGGTTATATTAATAACCAAAAAAATTACAGTAGACCATACATATCGCTGTCTTTATAAGACAAACCAGGGGAAAAAAAACATAAAATGGTACCACAGAAGTAATTAAAAGCACATTTTTCATACAAAACGTTTCAATATTTGCTAAGCATAATACAGAACAACTAAGACCTGGTTTGCAACAATCCAATTTAAGTGCAATCAAACATGCCAAGAATCATTATTCCTATAAGAAAGATGAAGAAGCATATATCCTCACTACAGCAGAATTAAATTATGCTCCCATACTCTAAGATACACCTTTAGAGCGTAACAGGTTTTTTCAGTCAAAGACTTATTGTATCACCCCAGCCATGAAACAAGAACCCAGGCTAATAGATATCCCAAGAGATTGTGACAGATACTATTACAGGAAGTGCAGGAAATCAATGCAATACTAACGATAGCCACTTTTCTTAGCACATTGTCCTGTTCATACACTACAGTAGATGCAAAATGTTGGTGTACAATACACAATGATAATTAAGTCTGTCCTCCAAATGTCATTCATTTGTATTTTATATTTAAATGAATGATAAATCTGTGTTTTTTCAAGGACAGTTGCCAACTATTCAGCTTGCATAACATTTTTCTCTGAAAGCTATAATTATAATTAACAGTCTATAGGTGGAATCACTCATATATGTCTTTAAAGTACTGTATGCCCAGAGAATAAATGCAAAGAAGAATAGGTAAGCAACAGTAATGAAATGTCAAATAACACAGAGAACACATGCAAATAATTAAATCAAAGTATAATAAAGAACCAACATAACCTTAAAATAACAAGTCACGCATACATCTAGCAGAAAACAATTCTTGCCCATAAAATTTAATTCAATTAATATTTCCTCATTTTCTTCACAATTACAGCCTCAGATTAAAAACAAATATCTGACACACATGTGATAAAAAGCAAAACAGTCTCATGTAAGAAGACTGACCAGCACAGCAGCTGACAGTGGGCACCTCCTTTGGTTCCTTCAGCCTCTGCACCTCTTTCCTAGCTGTTGCCCAGGTTCCCACTGTGGGAAAATGTCTCATTACAGACTGAGGGGTTTGTCTATCAAGATCCCATTTCTGAACCAAGGGAGACATAGGGAGGGAGGCGAGAGAGAGGGAGAGGGAGAGAGAGAGAGGGAGAGAGAGAGAGGGAGAGAGAGAGAGAGAGAGAAATTGGGGGCTGCAAGCCACAGGAGGAAAAGCAGAACCACTCAACCACATAAAAAAGCCCAGAGACAAAAATCAAAGTATCGCCATTGTTACCACACCCTGCAGCCCAAACCCTCAAAGGGGGTGTTAAAGGGGGTGTTAAACTTAAACCAATCCAAACTTCATCCTCTAGTCCTAATAAAAGACCTTGACCGTTCCTACTTCAGTCCTCTGCTTCAATAATCCAGCTCAAAGTGTCCAGAACCCAGTCCCATTAGTTTTGTCCCACACATTACTGGAGAAAGAAGAACAGGCAAGGGGTGTGTTTGAATGACAAGGTTCAGTTCCAGAGTCCCCCAGTTTAAATCATTGTCTCTATAGCAGACGGTTCACGTTTTTGTTTCCAAAAAACATGGACTGTTTGTGGGTCCTTGAGAACCAGGCTGGGAAACACTGCTCTACAGGAACAGGAACAGGAACTCTGTTTCCATGTCGTGTTGTGATGTTGTGCTGGTACCCCGGGTGATGAGCTGTTCCATTTATGACACATGGATGATTATTTTACATAGATAAATTAAAACATAATTCTTTGTATGATGATAAACTAGTGAACTTGAATGCAAGTTACCAGTCCTTTCATATCATAGAATGATGTTCATTCACTATAGTGTGTTCATACCTTATTTGTTCTTTCTATTGTAAAGCACTTTCTGACCAGTGTCTGAAAATTGCTATATAAAATTTACTTGCTTACTCAACTTTACCTTGAATCTGAGGCCCACAAGATACGTTTTTTCACTCCTCTGTTGAGAGCTATGGAGTCAAAATAAGCCCGTTTTGAATTAATAGTTGATTTCTCATAATGTTCCAGTCAGTGTCCGATCATCCTGTTGGTGGGAGGAACACTGGAGATCTACTATAGGACATTCATCAAATAAATCATTCTGTGCCCAAGTACACCCCTTGAAGTCCCTACACTTGCAGTGAGGTAGTGTTTTGACTCTAGTCTGAACTGGTCTTTCAGACAGAGGCTCTGGTTTGGACCTATTTATCTAGATGTCCATCTCCACTGACAATCTTCTTTGAGAGTAACAGAGAATCAGCACCATGTTCCCTTATGGATCCCCTGCTGATTCCCACATCCTAGTTCCTTCAACCTCATCCTCCTCTAGTCCTGAACATATGCAGCTGGATTGAGCAACCTTGTCTTAAGAGGACCACTTGTGATACCTTCAGCATCATCTATTTACATTGTGCAAAACTTAGCACTCCTAAAGGCAGGGACCATTTGCAAACACCTGAGTGATGGTATCTATCCTGTCTCCCACAAACAGTTTGGTTGTCTCTCAGTTCTGTCTCCATGTCTCTTACCACACTAGTGGATTCAAGTGGAGACCAGAAACCTTCTGGAAGTGGATGTGTGGTTCTGGCAGAATGGTCCCCGAGTCAGCCCATGTGTAAGGTCTGAAGCCTGTTGGGTGCCAGAAGAAATTCACAGGCTATCAGTGTTGTCCCTCTCCACTGTTGGGAGGACTGTCAACTTGGGACATCACACTTCACCTTCCACTCCAAAATCTTGGTCCTTTTTATGATAACAAAATGCATTAACACAATTTTCTCTTCTTTACAGTTAGTGCTTATGTTTCAGATATGACCAAATTTCCATGTGTCCCTGCTAAAGCCAGTTTTTTAATGTATCTTGTACAGATCCTCCATTTCTGCCACACCTCCCCCTCCATTGGAGGTCATAGGGAACCAATATATTCAGGACCCCAGATACCACTAAGGATGGTTGGAAAATTTGGTTAGATTGACTCCATCTAAAGCATCATCCATTTTCTAAACACTTATCCTGGTCAGGATCGCAGAGGTATGGTTCCTATCTCAGGCAGCACCCCGGAGGGTATTCCTGTTCATCTCAGGGCACAGAAACACACAGTCACACTCAATGGGCAATTTAGAGACACAAAATAGCTTAATTGCATGTCTTTGGACTGTGGGAGGAAACCAGAGCACCCAGAAGATTTGGCAAACAAGCAAACTACAGAATGTGAGGCGACAGTGCTACCCATTGAGCCGTGGAGCCTCCCACCTAAAGCAAATTTCAACAAAGTCATTGTATACCTGTTATGAACTAAATATGCTCTGTTCAGGTGCAGGAGTGGATAAAGGATGTCTACTGGCCCTTACAGAAACTACAGATTTAGTTTCCAAAGATGGAAAAATGTCTAACAATTTAATAATGGGGACTGTATTCAGTGTACTCTTCTGTATTCAGTATTCAGAGGTAACCAATCACATTCAAAATCCAGCCCAAAGGTTAAAAGCATAAACTTGTTATCAATGAAAGTGATGAAGTATCCATCCATCCATTTTCTTAAACTGCTTGTCCTATTCAGGGTCGCGAGGGGTCCAATGCCTATCACGGAGGCTATGGGCGAAAGTGATGAAATATTGCAAACAAATATTATCAACCGT